TTGGCTAGATTTATAGCCATGTTTTTTCTCTATTATTGCTGATTTTACCTGCGTAAGGTTTAGAAAAAGGGTGGATTTAATTTCCCAATCTTCCTTCCTGCATCAAGTAGTATCAAAGAATGGTTCAAAGATTGTTAGAAACTGTGATGGCCGGTGATGGAGGACTTAGCCGTAAGGATGCAATCTGATCCAACTGTGCAAGGAAATCAACAACGTGACAGAGAGAAATACAGAGCTATTGCTGCAAAAGCGACGCCAACAACAGCATGCCCTAAAGGAAGAGGATTCTACAGGGATAGATCCACATCGTGAGGGTTTTTATGGAGAATGGTGCGAATCTAGGTCCAACTCAAAGTGAGAGCAGAATGATGTTGTGTCCAACTACATAGATGGGTTTGATCTGCTATAACGCCAACATGAGAACATTTTTTAAGAACCCGAGTACAACCCTTTTTGCCTCTGTGCTCCACGTGAAGAGTCGATTGAAGAGGAAAGTGATAGAAAACCTCTACATGGAGGACATCTCTTTAGAATTTCCTTTGAAGGAGGATAATATTGATTTTGATGCAACTTGGATCTAAAATCAGCAAGTTGTATATCAGGATTTGCCACTTATCTTCGATGCATACTTAGATGAACAACAAGATTTCTTAAAAGATCCGACCTATGATAAGGATCAAGATGAAGTTGTTGATTTAGTTAATGAACTAGGGATTGCAAATGATCTCAAAGATGCTCCATTGGTCTGTTCTAAAGTTGAACCAAGGCAATTTCAGCAAGGTTACATGGCTGGAACTAGTGCAATTTCAACAAGTTCATGTGACTGAATCGATTCTATCTACATACAGCGACCTTTCCTTGAGGGTTTCTCATAAATGCTTATGAATATATCAATTGACTGTGAAGACTCAATTTTACTGCACAATAACCTACAAGTTCCAAGATCGTATTTATAATATTCGAGTTGAAGAAGGTTGATGGGCTAACTCAAATTTCATCTTAACGCTTTTCAAAACTTGAGGGTGATGGAGGACAAAAATATTCTTATTTCTAATACTTGTTTAACTTTGAAAGATGAATAATGTAACTTTAGTTTTAGGCTCTATTTCTAGATTTGTTAGGCTTTTCTTGGGATTCTAGGGTTTTTTTGTATTTTTATTTACTATTCACTAGTTACTATTCAATCTTATTGTTCATGGTATTATTCATGTCTTATTGTTTACAGGGGTATTTTTGAAATTTTTGTACTATTATTTTAAGATTTTAAATGTTTACTTGGATCTCTAGTTAATTTTAAGATTTCATAGGCTTATGAAAAGTTGGATGTCACATTTAAAGATACTTATGTTATTAGCACGAATTTTATATTATAAAAGAAGATTTTTTTTCTTTTGCCTTGATTTACAGCCATATTTTTTTCTCTCTTATCGCTGATTTTACTTGTTTAAGGTCTAGGAAATGGTGGATTTAATTTCCTTCTCTTCCGTCCTACATCAAAGATGAAGGCAAATAAGTAGTAAACGGCATGTTTTGATGCCTACATGAATTGTTCGTCCATTAGTAAACATGACCCAAAACCATAAATTATTTAAAAATAAGAAATAGCATTGTTTTTCTCACTTGCAAATGCACCTGATCAGTCAATGTTCCAAGACTCCAACATGCATAATGAAAACCAATCCTCCCTTGCCTTCTAGAACCTTAAAGGAGCACAAACCAACAGAATCCTACTCTCTCTCTCTCTCTCTCTCTCTCTCTCTCTCTCTCTACTACTACTACTACTACTACTACTACTACTACTACTACTACTACTACTACTACTACTACTACTACTACTACTACTACTACTACTACTACTACTACTACTA